TAGATATTTTTAAAACCCTATATACAAGATTATCCATAAAAAAGTAGAGATAAAATCATCTTTAATTTATTCCAAGAAAAAAAGAGCAAAAAAGGACATACATTTTGACATTGTAATGTGAATAGGTTATATGTCGGGGCATTCCTGCAGAATGCTGGTTCCCTTCGAAAGACCAGCTAGGTAAAGCCTGTTGATTAGGCAACACTAGATATTGGATGATAGTATGAAGAGGTAAGGTAATAACGGGTCACCTTGTCTTGCTTCTCCCATAGGATTCAGATGCTGTATAATTTGGCCATTAAGAAGAATATAATTCACCGTAGAGACACATTACATAATCAGGTTGATCCATTTTCCAGGAGATTTCTCCCTTTTCATAGTTGCTGCAAAGAAGGGCCATGAAAAGCGATCAAATTCTTTGGAAAGATCTACTTTTAAAACTGCTAATTTACGTCTTTCTTTGCCTGAATAAATTATCTAATGCATTACATTTGCAGCTAGCATTATATTGAACGTGATTTATCTCTCTTTCAGAAAAGCACTCTGATTTGGTTCTACAAGTTTGGATAATACAAGCTAGAGTCTGTGGCTCAGCAGCTTTGAAACAATTTTTTAGGAGACATTGCACAGACTTAATGGGCCTAGATCTTGTTAGACAGGAAGATCACCCAAAAGGAGGTGAACTTGGTGATAGTAAAAATTCTAAACTTGCTCAAATAAAAGAAATTGAAATGAGAATAGAGTTAAAGCAATATCACTGAGGGAAGAGATGAACACAGATTTATATTGGTTTGGTCTACCACTTGACTTATGTTTAATTTTCAGAGCACCTCTAAGATTCCACTATCTTCTAAGATTCACGGGGCCCTTAGTTCCTAACTAAAACAATTTGCAATTTACAAAACCTCAATCACTCCTCTTTACTTCTTACAATGTTACAACTGTAATATCCCAAATTTTGGCTTAGAGGTGTAAAAAATGGCTTAAGATGTGAAGGCTACTGGACCCATTCTGGCAAGAATCTTGGAGGTTCCTTGGAAGGATGAAGGGATTCCTAAGGACTAAATTACAAAGTAAACGTTTTCTGGAATTAAGAAAAGAAGAAGATAAAGACTCCAGTAAAGTTTTAGAGGGTTGAGTATGAGGAATGGAGGTGATAAAGGGCTAGAAGCTATGTTAGAAACCTCTGTAAGGGGATTCTTGAGACTAAACGTGAGTAGGGACCTAAATGCAAATTTGAACAATTTCAGGCTGAAAAGAGTAGTGATAGAAAGTAGGCCTGAATACTTCAAAAAAATTTCAAAAAAATAGGAATGAGGTCTAGAGGCTCGTATAAGACTAGAAATGATAAAAATACCCCTAGAAGGAATTTATGGAATTCTTAGGGTTTTGGCTAATTATGTGTTAGCTGAAATTGAATTGTTTAAAATATGAGGAGGCCTTAGATAATTGAAGAAAAATAGGAAATAACTAGACGCCTTACCCCGTGAACTAATAATAGTTCAAGCACTAAAATTTGAATTTAAGAACACACATTAACCATATTTTTTAAAATATGCCAAACATGCAAAATTGTTAAAATACTTATCAGAACTTATAATTGTAAATCTTTTTGTCAATTCAAAATAGGTATACTGATATTTATTGTCTTCATTACCAATAGTATAAAAAACTATACTAGTTATGTTTAGGGTTTAGGATTGACGGATCTTGAAATATAAATGACAATATGATTACACATATGTAATAAATTTAGTATAATAATCATGTGATGTTAATATATAACATCGTCAATTACTAAGATAATTATCTCTTGAAAAAACTATATTGTCACCATTATTTAATAAACACATGAATTACAAAAACACATCTTTCTTTCAATTCATAACATGTGTCACTTTAATTAGAACCAAGAAAAGGTAGTTATTATTCTCAAAGTGATTTATATTTTGAAGCAAATCAAGAACGAATTATATTATACACTGGAGAGAGTATATACTTGTTACTATAGTCTATGTTATAGATTTTGAAGTTTTTTCCCTCTACGAGTAAAGAAACTATAGAGTCCTTAAACCCTACGGAAACTTTGACCAATGTCCCCCTAAAAAGTATCAATTATTACTATTTGATTTATTTAAAGTATCACCTATTGGTATATTTTAACCTTATGATATAGCTTTCTTACATAATAATCCTAAAAGTAAATTATATAGAACGTATAAAATATTAAAAAAAACTATTATTAACACGATCACATTGATACAAGTATACGAATATTACCTTCCAACTTTCTTTTCAATATCAAATTCCACACCCTACCATAATTGAAAACAAATTTTTCATCCCCTTTCTGTCAAGGCTGGTTTGCACTTAGGAAAAATAACAAATAAAGACCCCAATATGTAAAATTATGATTTAGGACCCTCAATTTGCACTACAAAAAATTCGACTTTCAGCGCGACAAATGTCGCCGCTGAAAGTCCAAAAGTCGCTGCTGAAAAGCTTCAGCGGCGACATTTTGTTGCCACCAAGTCGTTGCCGTAGCGACCGTGGCTGAAACTTATCAGCGGCGACAAAAAAAGTCGCCGTTGAAACTGGACATTTAGCGGCGACAAAAAGTCGCCGCTGAAAGGAGTTTCAGTGGTGACTCTGAAAGCTGATGAGTTTGCCACTCAGAAACGTCGCCACTGAAACATGAGAATCGGCGGCGACTAATGTCGCCGCGGAAGCTTGCTTCGGCGGCGACATTATGGTCGCCGCTGAAGCTTGATTCGGCGGCGACTTTGTTGTTGCCACTGAAACGGTCTTCAGCGGCGACAAAAAAGTCACCGCCAAATCAAGCTTCAACGGCGACATATGTCGCCTCTGATTGTCATTTTAATTATTTTTATAATATACTAATTATGCAAAAAATTTTATTTATATTGCTGATAAATATTATTAAAAGGTTTAATAAAAATAAAGTAATTAACACACAAATATGGTGTATTAAATAATAAGATTTATAACCATGAAAGTGTTCTTTATGTCTCTAACTGAAAAAAAAAATTGTTCAATTAAACGATACATTACATAATACAAAAGAAAAATTACGTAGAGGGATCAATACTAGGGACGCTAGAAGTAGGGGTATCTGCAGGAGCATTTAACTGCATCTTTTGCATGAAAGCAGTGAACTGAGCTTGTATTCTCTGTTCCATCAACTGCTCCATCCTTTGTTTAAGTTGCGTACGCTCTGCTTCCATCTTTGCTCGCTCTGCAGCACGTTCTGCCCCCATCTTTTCTCGCTCTGCTGCACGTTCTGCTTCCATCCTCTCTCGCTCTGCAGCAAGATTTGCTTCCATCTTTTCTCGCTCCTCTTGAAATCTTCTTTCAAACTCTTCATACAATTGGGTGCGTACATTCTCAAGTGAATCACTAGATTGAGTGTGAAGTCTCTTCCTCCGAGGCTCTGCTCCATAACCTTTTCCTCTAACATATCCTGACCTCTCACTAAGAACAGCTGTCAATATCTCATCAGAGGTCATTCGAGCATCACTCTCTAAGGATTGCTGCTGAACGAGCTCATGCATGCGATCCTATAGTTACAAATTACAAATTACATTAATGAAAAAAATATAATTATTTAATTAAATATAAAGGACAAATATTATACATACATGAATCTCTTCAGATCGCGGATCCACCCACTGTAACTGGCCATCTGCAGTCTTCCTAGTATGTGTTATCTCCCAAACCTGATCTAGGGGGGCAGGTTGTCCAGTGGTGGGGTCTCTCTATAAAGCATAATATACAAAAATAACAAATCTTGAAAAATAAAAAAATGGATAAAAAAATAAAGTATAGTGAAGAGGCAACTTACTACAGAGAACTCAACCTCCGCAAATGATCGGGGACCACATGTATGCTTTGTTACTTGTTTTGCTCGGTTTTGTGTGTTTCTAGCACTTTTGTTCTACATCAAATTTGAGTAACTACTAAGTATGTTGAATGATATAATTATATTATTCATTTAAATAGTTAGTATTTAGTAAGATACCTTAAATAGATCTGACTGAAAATATGTCAATAACCACTCCCAATCTTCAAAACTTACAGTTTGAGGTGGATTTGCCAACCTTTCTTCATCAGTGTCAAATTTCTTATAGTGGGTATGCAAGTTGGTCTTCCAATTTCTGAAAGCATTTTGCAATGTGGTCACTATCATTTTTTGGAACTTCTCTTCATCTGTTGCAACAGCAGGTTGAAATTTTTCCTAAAATAAAAATCAATATCAGCATAAGTACTTGTTTTGAAAGCATAAATAAACTAGGATATACATTTACTAAACATAAATTGTACCTTCACTTTTAAAATCATAACATCAATATAATTTGTGTAAACATTCCTCTATTCAGCACAATCCTTCAAAGATATTGTGGTCCTAATAACATAACCACAATAATTAGCTAGCTCTCTTGCTCCTTGCCCTACTGCTCTTGTCATGTCATCTGTGAAAGTAAGCTGAATCTTTCCTCCAAATTTAGTCATTAAGTCCACATTGAGCGACTTATAAACTCCTCTACCTTTCTTAATTATATTAGAAGAGCCTATCATTCAAGTGAACAAATAATATAGTCAAAAGTATGTGATGCTAATTAGTTACTTGTATTATATAAAAGTAAAGAAAATTTACCTGCACTACTGTTTTGAGTAGGGGGAGAGTCGGTAGGCAATTCCTCAAATTGTACTTGGAGTGGTCGAGGTGAAATGGTATGTCTAATTGCAGGGGTAGAGCTAATACCTCCACTACTTGTGCTGCCATGTCGTGTGAAGGAAGAGCTTCTCCTACCCCATCCTCTCTTTAGCCCTGACATATCCTGCAATAATGTACAAAATTTAGATTGTTTTTTATGTTAATAAAACTACTCTTTATGAAGATAGTATATATTAAAAAAATTACAAAATCTAACTTGTTAAGAATATATTAATAAAAACTACCATTTATGAGGATTGTAGTTTCATTCTGTTGAGTCCTCTGTGGTACTATCACTTGTATCATCATCTTCTATTTCACCTTCAATGTCACTTTCTTCTTCAGTATCACTATCATTACCATCAAGCACATCTTCTTCATCACTATCGTCATGAACTAGTGAATTAGATTCACTATCATCAATAAATCCAATCTCCATATTACTTCTTTGTGATGGTTCTCCTACTTGAATGAAAGTTTGGGGTTGTACATCATCTCCACACAAGTCAATAAAGATATCATGCTGTATAAGACTTGCATTTAAATCAACCACCAATTGTTGATAAGGCTCTTCATCAACCATTGCAATATTAACATCACTACCAACATTAACATTCTCAATCGGCATATTGAACAAGTCACGTGGATTCGTTTTGACAACAACAATCCAACCCGGGTCAACAATATCATCCACATAAAAAACTTGCTCTGCTTGAGATGCTAAAATAAATGGTTCATTAGTTTGTAATGAACATTGAGTGTTGATACTTGTGAACCCATACTTATCCACCTTATATCCTTCGCCATAGTTAGCGACATCCCACCAGTGACACTTAAACAAGTATAATTTTTTATTCTCTATGTAAGATAACTCATAAATATGCTCTAACACACCATAATATTCTTTATTAGCATCAGTGTCATCACCCTTGGCCATGACTCCATCATTTTGAGTTCTTTTTCCTATTGCCCGATCTTTTGCATGAAAACGAAATCCATTGCCTATAAACATAGAGTAACGATTGACCACTCTCGATGGACCAATTGATAAACTTTTGAGTTCAGGACTTACAAAGCCTTGTGTGGACAATGCTATCACCTATTAAAGAAGAACCATTCCTTCAATATGCATTAATATTATTAATATAAACTTCAAAGCTCAAAGTCTAGAACTTACTCGTGAACGGAACCAATCAGGAAACTCTTTATATTGGTTTTGCTCACTCATTAATCCCCGAGCTTCAAGTTCTCTCCTCTGTTCCCTACATGTTTTTACACAAGTGAGAAAAATATAAATTATAACAAATTCATTCTTGTTAAATTAAGTTGACGTACTCTATGAATGGCCAAGTTTCTTCACAATTTTGGAGCACATACATTCTTGCCTGACAATACTCTTCATAAGAAAGAGAGACTGACTCAAAATGTCCTTTAGCTTCACCACTTTTCTTGAACACCGAAAGCTCATTACTGATATTATTATCACTGATGTCATCATTCCGATGCTGCACATTAAATTTAGTAGGAATGTCTTTCAAGTATCGTGAACAAAAAGTTAGACTTTCATCTGCCAAATATCCTTCTGCAATTGATCCTTCAGGTTGGGCCTTATTGCCAACATATGACTTTAGAGTTCGCAAATACCTACAACAAAAAGTCAAGCCTTATTGAATGGTTTTAAATGATAGATTATAAATATAATTGTAAAGTAACCTTGTTAAAGCGAATTACCTTTCTATGGGGTACATCCAACGATACTGAACTGGCCCACCAACTTTTGCCTCTCCTCCCCAAGTGTATAGGCAAGTGAACCATTACGTCAAAAAAGGCAGGTGGGAATATGGTCTCTAACTTGCACAAAGTTATTTCTATTTGACTTTGAAGTTTGTCAAGTTCTTCACATGTTAAACACTTTGAACAAAGATTTTTAAAAAATCTTCCCAATTGTATTATTGGTTCACATACTTGGGGAGGCAGTAACCCACGTATTGCAATTGGAAATATTTCCTGCAATAGCACATGGTGATCATGACACTTCAAACCAAATATTTTTCGCTCGTGAATGTTGACACACCTTGAGATATTAGATGCAAAAGCATCAGGTACTTTTAAGTTAGCCAAGAATTTGCAAAGGGATTGTTTCTTTTCAGAAGATAATGTGTAAGGAGCAGGAGGCTTATAAACATCATTACCATTCTTAATCGGGTGCAAATTACTCCTAATGCCCAAATCCACCAAATCATACCTACTTTTTAATGTGTCCTTTGTCTTTCCAAGTAAATCCATCACTGTCGATACAAGATTATCAGAAACATTTCTTTCTATATGCATCACATCAAGATTATGTCGTATCAACAAATTTTCCAATAAGGCAATTGGAAAAAATGCTTCTTTTCCTCCAATTATAAGCCTTACTATTTGTAGGGCGTTTTCGTTTTTGGCCTTTTCCAAATGATATATTACCCAATTGTTCTAATTGCATAAGTGCGTCATCTCCAGTTAATGGAATTGGTGGAGCTCTGAGTTCTTCTTTTCCATCAAATGATTTTGCATCTTTGCGCCATGGGTGATTTTGTGGAAGAAAACACCTATGACCCATATAAGATAACTTGCTCCTTAATGAAATGCAATGCGTGTCTTTGTGACAACAAGGGCATGCAAACTTGCCTTTAGTTGACCATCCTGAAAGATTTCCATATGCGGGGAAATCATTTATCGTCCACAACACTGCTGCATACATCATAAAATTTGATTGAGAAAATACATCATATGTTTGCACCCCTACTTCCCACAATTGTTTCAGCTCCTCAATCATTGGTTGTAAGTAAACATCTATTTCATTACCTGGACACTTTGGACCAGGAATAAGAAGTGTCATCATAAAATATGGGCTTTTCATGCAAAGCCATGGTGGCAAATTATATGGTACCAAAACTACAGGCCAAATGCTATGATTGGCACTCATATTCCCAAAAGGTTGAAATCCATCACTTGCCAATCAGTAGAAAAACTAGGATATTGTTGGTCAAAGTGTTGCCAAGCAAGAGAGTCGGCTGGATGTCTCAATACACCATCATTTGTGTGCTTCTCCTTATGCCACCTCATTTCTTTAGCAGTGTCTCTTGCCATATAAAGCCTTTGTAACCTAGGTATTATCGGAAAATGCCTTAAGACTTTCTGGGCAATTTTTTTCCCTCTTTGCCTGTTCAACTTCCATCTAGACATCTTGCACTTAGGACATGATTCTTCATTTGCATGTTCCCCCCAATATAATATGCAATCATTTCCACAAGCATCAATTTTATTGTAATCTAAACCCAAATCACGAATTATCTTCTTAGCTTCATAAAATGAGTTTGGCACTAAAGCCCCTTCTGGAAGAACATCTTTCAATAGGGCCAACAATGCATCCATAGATTTATTGCTCCAATGGTTAAGACACTTTAATTGAAGCAATTTTACAATAAAAGACAATTTTGACATCTTCTCACAACCTGGATAAAGTTCTGTCTCTGCATCCTTTAATAAGTCGTAGAACTTTTGGCATGCACATTAGGCTCTTCATTCTCATTTAATTCATTGTTCATATCATTCATAGAAGGAACATTATATGCATCACATACCATCCTTGTAAGGTTCTCCCCATAAGTATCATGTTCTGCTGCTGTACTTGAAGTCTCACAATCACTTTGACATCTAATAATTTCCCCATGCAAGTCCCATACCACACCTTATAACTATCCCAAAAACCCTTACTCAATAAGTCAACCCTGACATCTCTTCTCGCTTTGAATATGACATTCATACATTTTTTACAAGGACATCGTATTTTGCTTGTCACTCCATTCTGAGTAAAAGCCCATTCGAGAAAACCATCTACTCCTTTAATATATCTTAGGTTGCCTCTATCTTTAATATCTAACCAACTTTTATCCATTTCTATTTCACAAAAGTTGAAGATTAATGTAAGAAAAGGAAAAACAATAAATACTAAAGTGCAAGAAATAAATAGAAATGAATAAGGTTGAGTTGACCAAGAAAAGAAAATTATATATGATATATATATATGTATCTTACTTCTAAAAAGCTGATTCATTTCAACGTAGTATATAAGCCAAACTAACAAAGCATCACAGAGTCAACGCAAACGCAAGGTGAAGATGATAAACTGTTAACTTACAAGTGACAAGAGCTTTACTACTCGCCCTAGCTAGTAATCCTTTTTGCTTACACCACCGTATATGCCTACAATAATAAGGACCAGACATTATAATGGGAAGGAAACCAAAGGTCCCAAGAAACCATTTCAAGAAAGCGATTGCAATGGAAGGGAATACCTGTCCTAAAACAAGAAAATTTGTTAGATAGAATCAGTCTGAAAATCGTATATAAATCAAAAGCCAATCATGAATAATTACAAGATAATGAATAAATTCTAATTTCGATAAGAGTCTACTCAACTAAACTCAACAACAAATATCAAAACATGGAATGATAATCAGTGACACAACATATGGCAGCGAACTATGAACTCAATCCTTGCTTGACATGGAATCTACAGTGTCAGTAGGTCATTGCCACCTAGGCAGTCCCAACTATTTTGTCCTCATATGACAGTAGCTCTGTTTTTCCCGGACGGTAGAACAACTTCACTGAGCTTGCTTTCCTGAATGTCCACTTCTCTTCTATGAATCACACAAATTTGTGTCAACATAACTTTGGATTTTAGGAAATCGTTTCTATTCCTCAAAGCTTTAGGCATGCCGTATATGACTAATATTTAGCTCAATTTGAATAGTTGTTTTAGTTAATCCCTTTCAAGTCATTTTTTTTGGCGGCCCCTTTCAATGGAATTTCTTAGTTTACAGCCACCTTTAATTGTCCACGACAAAAGAGCAACCTTTGGTAGTCAATCAATCTCAAACTGCTGTGCTACCTCTAGTTCGAAACACAAGATATAGTTTGTACTGCAAATTACACAATTTATGTGTGTCGGCTTTCTGATTTTCTGTTCATATCAAGCTCAATAATTTCTCTAGTTTTGTGATGTACTATTTGTTTGAAATGTAAGAAATCTTCCTTTTCCCCCGTCTTTCTCTCTTGTTTGATGCTGCAAAAAGATTAAAATTCTAATAATTCGCTTATAAAGTACCGCAATTCCAGTAGGATATGAAATTCCTCAAAAAAGAGTCCATATTTATTAAGCGGTGAATCCTTCGAACTAGTAAATAACATCAAGTCTTGAACAAGAGAAGTTAAACAAAATAGTTTCAAGCAATTAAGTAGACAAATTTTGACATTCATAACATACGTATTTACTACTGTAATTAACTGAAATGTAGGCACCCCAAGAACACAAATTGCGTTGGTTCTCCCTACCTCAAAAGAGGCTCGACCTTACCTGGATCTGTACTAACGGTGACGGAGCTGGAGAGTAGCGGCGATCCGGCAACTGGCGAGCAAATAGTGAGCTGCAGCAGCAAGCACAAATTGAAGGACTAGGAGGCAAGCTTGGTTGCAACTGCTACGGAATGGGGTCGCCGGCGCTGCGCAAATCACAAAAGGGGATGGGGGAGAAGCAGGTCTGAGGTCCCTCTTCGCCGTCGTCGCTAATCGGTGAGAAATGAGAATGTGAGATGCTGCCGCTAACGCTAGGTTTGGAGGGAGAGGGGATTTGGGGATGAACTCGTGCTCGGCGCTGGTCTGATCTGGTGAGAGCGAGGGAAAAGTAAACTTTCAGAAGATTAGGGCGGGTTAAATTGTTTTGGGTTTCAAAATAAGAAACTTTAGATACAAAAACAATGTGCCAGCCTTGCCAATAACACACATGGCTTTAGTGGCAGGGGAGTGTTAGCTATTATAATTACCAGGTCCCCTGTTCGAACCAGCCAGGTAACATTAAATGTTTTTTTTAACCTTTTTGAGCCAAAATTAATGTGTAAAAATTGGGCATTTTCCATATTCGAACACAGGACCTCTACACTAAAACGAACAAGCGTGGCGAGCCAGGCTAATGAATTTAATTGAAACCATTGAGCAATAGAAAATATATATAATATGCAACTGTATATGTTTTACAAAATTTAATTAATCACATTTTAAATTAAAAAATATAAATAGTAATAATATTTAATTAACTATATACATGATTTATTATCTATATCTCTCACACATTTTTAATTAATTATATTATCTCCTTTAATGATTTTATTTCTCAATCCTCTCATACATATGTTCATCATCAAATATTATTATGTCAATTAAGTATACTCACACTAATTTAATTATAATAATCTCTCACATATATTTAATTATGTTATCCCTTTCAATTATAATATCCTTCTCTCTCTCACACATACAGACTATCTCTCTTCCAATAATACTTACATCTACCTCTCACCTCTCACCCTCTCACACACACACTCTATATTTCATTACTTATCCCATCAAACTTGCATACTTTTTCACGCATGCCTCGATCTCATTTCTCTCCCATGCATAATGTTTTTCTATTCCATCTCTCAAACATTTGGATATGGGATATGTGTGTTAAACACACACTCCAAACTTTCTTCCTCTTCCTTTCTCTCTCAAACACCATATTATCTTTCTTTTAGTCTCTCTCTAACACAAAAATACATAAAAAAACATTAATTATCAAAGTTACTTAATTACGCAAATAAAAGATTATAATATAAAATTTTTACAAAAAAAAGATTAAAAAAATGTGAAAAAACTTTCAGCGGCGACATTTGTCGCCGCTGAAAGTGAGCTTCAGCGGTGACACGAAGAGTCGCCGCTGAAAGAGGATTCAGCGACAACAGTTAGTCGCCGCTAAAACCACATTCAGCGGCGACTTAAATTGTCGCCGCTGAAAGTATACACTTTCAGCAGCGACTTGAATTGTCGCCGCCGTAGTGCACACTTTCGGCGGCGACAAATTTTGTCGCCGCTGAAAGTTGAAGCTACAGCGGCGACAATAATAAGTCGCCGCCATAACTCTCACTTTTGGCGACGACATACTTGTCGCCGCAGAAAGGCCGACTTTTAGCGGCGACAACTATTGTCGTCGCTGAAAGTCATATTTTCAGCGGCGACTCCCTTTGTCGCCGCTGAAAGTGGTCGCTGAAAGTCCAGATTTTTGTAGTGTTGAAAAATAGCAAATAAAGACTTGGTTCCATGTTATAAATATAAAATCTTAATGAAATGTTTGAAATGGCCCTAAGCCACTGAAATTGTTATTCGCTAAAGTGAACTTGTCATTTCCCATAGGCAACTTGTCATTTGACCTACCCTCAGCTAACCACTCTATGGTGCTCCTTTGTATCTAATTATAAGGCAAAAATAAAATATTTTCTTTGTCATATTTATAAGTCATATCATTAAATTTTTAATATGAACATACTATATATTTTTTTTGCATTTATTTCAACGTAGATTTTTTTAAAAAAAATGTACATATAACGGGGGTAAAATTAAGATATTGTTATATTTTAAGATAAAGTTAATGCAATTCAAAGTTTATCTTGCGTGAAACATATTGAATTATTGTCCCTATTGGAATTTAAATTTCAATAATCTAGATTCCAAATACAAGGTAACACCAATAATTAATTTCTCTCTATGCTAGGAACAACAGTAGTTAATTTTATCATACTAATCAATCAATCAATTAATGAATTGATTAAGTCATGAACTATTCTTTCTATTTCTTATTATAGAGCATTTTCTAAAAGTAATTTTTAGTCTAAAATAACTATCACTTTTTAGTATTGGAGAATTAGTTGTAGTGCCCTATAATAAGGATGATAGGGAGTATTAAGTTTTACCATGCACTTAGTCAAGTTAATATCTTAATTAGCAAAATACCCCCTTACAATTTCTCACATAGGCCCCACAAGAATACAAA